CTATAGATATAAACAATTTGAATGATAACAAGTAGCAAGAACGATGAATAATAGAATATTAAATTATTTGGTCACATTTCACTTTTGATTAATTTATTTAAAGAATATGAAGGAAGATGAAGATTGACATGATATCCTCCGCTCTCCATTCAATTCCAGTATATAACTGATTTTCAAATAAGGGGAAAAAATGGATTTAATATTTTCCAACAAAATTTCATTTACTTCTTGGTTGCTTACTTTCCATTGGGCCTGTTTTGTAAGTTAGAAGTGAATATAGAAGCATGAAAATCACTTTTTAAGTGTAAAATTATATATTTGTATCTGCATAAAGAGTTAAAACATGAAAGGATATGACCCATCACTGGTGATTTGGACAATTAAGGGTCCGTTTGGACGTAATTTTTGGAGGGTGAAAGCCTGCAAAAGTTCTGAAAAAGTCAGAACTTTTACAGGCTTTCTTGCAAAATCGTCCCAAATTGGGGCGATTTTGCAAGAAAGCCTGCCAAAGTTTTGACTTTTTCAGAACCTTGACAGGCTTTTCCCCTCCAAATAATGCAAACAAATGGACCCTAAGAGGTTTCAATTTGGCTATCATATTTTTGAGTTTGATTACGGGCAGAGTTATAAAAAAAAACATACATGATGATCAAAATATTTACTTGGCATAGAATAAAAAATATAAATCAATGTGATATTGCACATGCAACAAGTATATGATAAATCAAAAATATCTCCAGAGTGAATAAAATGAATGAACCCTAGCTACGCCATTGCATAACGATTATTCTCGAACTGTTATCATTCCTCTATCTTTACACTCCACAGGGGTTAGAGGCTTAGGGGCTGTTTGGTTGCACACTTTTTAAAAAAACTTTTTCTCAAAATATCTGACAATGGTAATTTTGTAATTAAAAATTTTCCATAGATTTCTATAAATTGTGTTTGGTTCAACAAAAAGTTTATAGAAATATTTTCTATAAAATATCAAAAACTATCAAATTTTACAAAAAACAATTTCCTCTCAAAATGAGAGGAAATCAACAGGAAATCTGACACATTCCTTATTTAATCAACAAAACTCGTCCCATACCCATTTTCTATAAAGTTATGAGCCATTTTCTTGTTTTGAACCAAACAAGCAAAATAAAAAAAAAGAAAATTGGTACTTTTTAACTTCTCAAAACTTTTCTTATAATTTTTTTAAGAAATACAAGGAAATCATATTTTGCGTGGAAAACACTTCCTATAATTTCTAGAAATTGAACCAAACACCCCCTTAGAGCTAGTCTTCTTTAACAATTAAAATCAACTTTTTCGTGTTCTTAATGCTATGTCAATTTTCATACCATTTATAAATCTCGAAGATTGCTCTAACTGTATATATTCTCGATACTACATTTGAGTCCCATTAAACCAAAATATTTTATAAATATATCATAAATTCACAAAAATTCATAAATCCTTCCATAATATAATTTATATAGAAAAAGTATTTTCATAATTAAAAGCATAGAATATGATATAATTTATGAGAATGTCCAATAGCAAAAGCTTAACGTCAATCCATGCCCAATTGGTCATGAAAATGATCGTTAAAATATCTAAATAATATCATATGTTCGGGACCATTAATCCAAAAAAAAAATCCTTATATTTTCTTCATTTAATAACACTTTACAAAAGAAATTTGTGAAAAATCAAATCCAGTTGTCCATTTTATTTTCTAGGCTTAGTCCATTCATATAAAATATCAAAAAAAAAAAAAAAAGGAAAAGAAAAAGAAAATACTCCTAAACACCTAAGCGTCGCCCTTATACTTAAAGTCAATATTTCAATTGTTTTCACATAGTAGATTAGATAGCATGAGTTACACATACATCCCTACAATATAACAGCATGAATAGCTCATCAAAAGGTTTGAGTTTTCCTCAATGAAATGTACCCAAATTCCCACCAAAAGAAGCTTATCTATGTGGATATATTAGTAATAAACAGAAATGACAATAAATGAGCTACCAAGAGATAAATGTTTGTTTAGGCACGTCATGGACATAACATTTAGTAAAAGGTGGTCAAGAAATATGCGTGTTGAGAACCATTATGTATCATTATTTGAATCACCCAACTTTCCATATAAAAATATTTTATATACAAAAGTCAGAGAGTGATTCTAAACTAGAAAAGATGAAAATTGTGCCCTTAGCTGTTTGGTTGTATGTTTTTACCATGTAAAAGGATGTAAAATGTAAAAAAGTGGGTCCCAATGTCAGTTTTCATCACTTTCAATTGTTTGTTTGTAGTTGTGAAAATAGTGTAAAGTGATTTCATATGCTAATGTGGCTTGTAAAGTGATTTCATAAAAAAAAGTCATGATTTTAGGAGAAAGCTAACATTGAAGTTAGGAAAAAATAATAAAAAATAATTCCAACCAATATGATCATTTGAGTAGGGACCACTTTTTACACTTTCCAAACAAACAATTAAAGTTTTATTTTGCAAACCAAACAAGTGTTTTATGATTCCAATGGAATAAAAAACAAACAAAGAAAAGTATAAAAGTGAAATTGATGAGGTGGACAACAACTTTCCAAGTTATGTCATAAAAACACAACTTTACCAACAACAACCAAACAGCCCCTTAATGTAGAATGTTGTAACCAAGAACAGAACTGAATTCGAGGCCTCAAAAAGCTGTGACCGGAACCAGAGAAGGCCTCTCTCCCTCTCGGGCCTCGGCCCATTAGTCATCCCTACCTGTGTTTTGACCGAGGTCCGAATCAGACGCCTGTGGAACGAGACCATTCGTTGTGGGGGTCGAGGCAGCGTGTCGCGAACCGGCGAACTGTGAAAAAGAAAAAGCGAGCCCGTGAGAGCTGACAGCCAAGCGTTTTTCAAATAGTACTAAAAGTGTCCCGCTCTCATCCGCCAAATTCCCCGAAATTATACGTCAAAACATTTTGGATTTTGTAAGAGCATCTCCAACCTAAAAATTTAAAATAGTGTAGTTTTTACATTAAAATTGATGTAGTTTTTACACCAAATCACTATTCCATTTTCAACCTATTACACTAAATTTTACACCAAAAAAAATATTCCTTTTATGATTCTTATCTTCTAAAAATTTTATCTATTTAGAACATTTAACAAATTATATATTATATAATTATATAATACATTACATATAACTAATTATAATAATATATTTTATGAATAAAATAAAAAATATAAAAATAATGCTTAATCAAGTTAAAATATTACTTTCATAAATTTATGTAATTTTTTTATCATAATACAACATAAATTTATTATTATGAAATATATTAATAAAATATTAATTTATGTTGTATTATCATTTATTAAAAAATAATATAAATTTATTATGAATTAGCACATAAATTTATTATTATAGAAAATAATAATACAACATAAATTATTGTGTAATAAAAGGGATATTTTATGAATTATGTGCTAAGTTATGTTGTATTATTATTTTTATCTAAATAATTAAAAAATTAAAAGGCTAAAAATAAAAAGCAAAAAAATTCTGTTGCGCCAAAGCTACAGTGCTGCGCCAAATCTAGCGCATCACTGTAGCGGTTATCAAAATAGCGAGAGATTTAGAGTTGAGTTGGAGGGATAAAATCGCGTCAAATTGGGTTTTCGCGTCAAATAGCCTCTCCGTTGGAGATGTTCTAATACCAGTCCATGCAACTTTGAAATTGATCATTAATTCCTTAAATCCGAAGGGGTCTTCCCATTTGGTCCTTCCCAAAGCCCCTCTATGTTACAAAACCATTAGCTTGAGGGTCCCTCGGTCATTCTGGGACCAAATCGCAAGCCCCTTAGAGTTTGTGGGGCTTATAAGCAATTTCAAAGATTTGATTAGTGCTTTTATCTAAATGAGCCCCATCTTATCATAAGTATAAACTATTATAAATAATATTTAAGTAATTAATAAGTACAAGGAACGAGAACTAAATGAAGTGTTCCTATTCATTTTTCTACGACGAATATGTTTTATAATTAGAGTTAAGTTTAAGAAATTTTATATTATCCTTTTTTTTCTTTCTATCTTTCAAAAAATTAAAAGTAAAGAGTTTGTTATAAGTTTGGGACTATAACTAAACTAATTCAATCTAACAACAGGATTGTTATTTAGTCTTGCCGTGCTAAATCGTTGTGTGGATTAATGGGAATATATTTCATTAAACTTAGCTTTATAACTTGGAATTTCGGGTACATCCTTTTTCTCAAGTTCATATCTCAATTGAAAGCTATTTAGAAACGCTTTCTTCTTTCGCAACGGTCATCTTCTCTCCCCACTCCATTTTTCATAAAAACGATACAGAAGAAAATATTTGATTTGTGGGGGAAGGGAATTAGTTGGTGGTAAAATATTAATCTATTATTTCTGTTTAGTCACTAAATCAATCACAGTTAAAAGAAAGGAATTAATATGGAATAACTTATATGGAGGACTAAAATGCATTTTTGATGATTTCAGTGATTAGTTTAAAAAAGGTTATATGTACCCCCCAACTCTTTAATATTTGTAAAATTGCCCCCTTAAATATTGGTATTTGTAAAAGTGCCCCTCAAAAGCAGCATATTGGATCCGTCTACTGCCCTAACTTAAGAATGTTGCTCTTTTTAAGCAAGGCAATGTCCAAATTCCCAATAATTTTGAATACATTTGCAACAATTTCCTGTCTAAAATCTAAAATTTTGGTAACTGAAATGGGTGGGGAAAAAAAAATCAAAATGTGAGAGAATTAGGCAGCAAGCCGCAAAATACCAAGATTTGAAACGTAATTGTGGGAATATGGAGGTTTGAGGGTTATTTATGCAAAAGCCCTTTACTAAAATTAAAGATTTAAGTTACCAATCTCTAAAAAGCCCAAAAAAGTTTCCGCACCCTCCTTTTTCCCTCTGAAAAAAAATAACGACAGCAAAGTGAGAGCACATATGCTCACTTTCTCGTTCTTTTCTTATTCAGCGTCCTCGGTAAAAAGTAAACCCCTTTATTCTCCCCACAACTTCAATATTTAATTCCTCAGCGATCTCGGGCGGGGGTCACGGCCACCTGCCCTCTTGTTTGAAATTTGAAAAGGGGGCAAAAAAATAAAAACTTCAGCTGTCCTTTTCCAGTTCGATTCCTTAATCCTCTCTCCATTTTCTAGGGTTTTGCGAAGGATGTGCGAGCCTCCGATCCTCAGACGAACGGTCAATCTGTAGGTTTCTCGCTGAATCTTTTTTGCTTGGTCTTAGTTCTAATCACAAAGCCTTTTTTTTCTTTCTTTTTGGGATTTTGTGCAGAATGTCGATGAGTTCTGGGCGGAATCGGGGTGCGAGAGATTTTGATTCTGTAAGCGTTTGATTCAATGGCATGAGTCTCTTTGATGAATTTTGATGTTTGTTTTTCTTTTTCGCGTAGGGTTTTGCATGTAGTTAAGAAGTAATGGGTGAAATCTGTTGTTTTGGGGATTTTTTGAATAGTTTGTGGGTTAAAGAGATGACTGCAGGTTTCGAACCTTTTGTTGGCAGTGAGAAAACATGAGCATATTCTTAGGAAGAAAGAACTACATGTTTGGAACCGGACTGTGTCATCAGACTCATCACTCATCTTACTATGATTTGTAGGGGGTGAAGGGAAGTTAAGGGAAACTAGGTGAGAGAAGGGAAGGGAAGGAAAGGGAGTTCCCTTCTCCTTGGTTACACCCCAATTGGGGGTAACAAATTTGGGCTTGTTTGGATTGAGGGGAATGAGGGTGAAGGGAAGTTAGGGGAACCATTCACCTCCATTCACCTTGTTTGGGAACACTTAGGAGGTGAAGTTAATTCACCCTAGTTCCCCTTGGTTCACCCCCTAATAGTATAAAAATTGTTACCCCCAAATTGGGGTGTAACCAAGGGGAAGGGAATTCCCTTCCCTTCCCTCCCCTTCCCTTCACTCTGTTTCTCTTAACTTCCCTTCACCCCCTACAAATCCAAACAGGAAGGGGAACTAGGGTGAATAACTTTACCTCCTAAATGTTCTCAAACAAGGTGAATGGAGGTGAATGGTTCCCCTAACTTCCCTTCCCCCTTATAACCCTCAATCCAAACAAGCCCTAAGTTTAGTGAATGGTTAACGCGATCGTTTTTAGGGGGTTGATGGCCTCAGTTCAGTCAGATTGCTTTCTTTCTTAAATACATGTAGAGGAAAAAATCACAGCCTTGATAATTGGTAAATGACCGAATTGGCATTGCGATTAGACCTATGCTCATGCCATTGGATGTTTAGCTAACAGCCTTGGATCATTGGTAACTCCGTGGATAGATCCTTCTTGACTACATTGCGATGACTGAGCTTCAGGTTAGATAACGTGCAATTAATATTTGTCCGTTGCGCTTTGTGTCCTGTAATGTTTTGATTGCATATGAGAAGAGTTAAGATATCTCTCTTAGCCAAGTAGGTATGAGGAACAAATAAGATCAATCATCCACTTGCTGCTTCAAAGAGAATACTGACAATTGATGGCCTTATCTTTGTTAGTTCATTATTCTATTGGGACAAACCCAGGCCAAATAGAGCATGGTCGCAGCAATAGTAGAGCAAAAGTAGAGATAAAAAATTAGACACACAGATTTACGTGGTTTGGCACTTGATTGCCTACGTCCACAGGCAATGATAGAAGAATTTACTATGAGGAGAAAACTCTGGAGTTACAATCTCTCTTTACCAGGAGATACTCTCTCTATTCTTTCACTCTCACTCTTCTATATGAGGAGTTGTTTCTGGGATGAGTTTTTCCTTAAAAATTTGGAACATATTTATAGTTTTTGAAAAAACACTATGCATAATAAAATAATAATATTTTACTATACAAATAATAATGATGGTAGGACCCACGCGTTATTTTGTCAACAATTTCAGCTGAGTGGGTTTTGAGGTGCCTGGCTTGTTAGGCACCTACTGCTGACAATCTCCTACTTGAAGATTTGATTGAGTATCAATCATATCTTCACATAATTTTTTCTATCTTGTCATCTTAATGTTGCTTAAGTCTACGTTAGACCACAAGAGGATCGACACTAAATAAATTTATCAGTACTGACTGTTTTTTGTCAAAAAATCTGCTAGGTTATCTTCGGTGTGAATTTTCTGCATATCCACTGTTCCTTCTTCCACTTTCTCACGAACGAAGTGGTACTGAACTCGAATGTGTTTGGTCTTTGAATGAAAGGCTGGATTTTTTGTCAAATGCAAAGCACTCTGACTGTCACATAATAAAGATATCTTCTTTTGTTCATAGCCGAGTTCCTCTAGCACCATCTTCAACCACATCGCTCCTTTACTAGCTTGTGTAGCTGCTACATATTCTATTTCTGTTGTTGAAATAGCTACAACTGACTGTAGTTTTGAAACCTAGCTTACAGCTTCGCCAGCAAGTGCAAATACATAGCGTGTGATGGATTTGATATTATCACGATCACCTACATATCTACTGACAATAAAATCAGATCCCCCATAACATAATACAACATTTGAGGTTCCTTGAATGTATCTTAGAACCCTTTTTACAACATTTCAATGCTCTTTACCGGGATTCGACATGTATCGACTAACCACTCCCACTGCTTATGCAATGTCTGGTCTTGTACAAATCATGACGAACATTAAGCTTCCCATTGCTGATGCATACGGTACTCGAGACATCTCCATCATCTCTTCTTTACTACTAGGACTCATACTGAAGGATAACTTGAAATTAATAGAAAGTGGGGTAGAAATTGACTTATAATCTTACATGTTAAAGCGCTATAAGATTTTTTTCAAATAGTTCTTCTGACAAAGCCAAATCTTTCTATTAACTCTATCTCGATAAATTTACATCCCTAAAATCTTTTTTACAAATCCTAAATCCTTCATTTCAAATTCCCTAGCCAACTGAGCCTTTAATTCTTTGATACGATCTTTGTTAGGGCCTGCAACCAATATGTCGTCAACATACAATAATAAGGTAATAAGTTATTTTCACCAAACCTCTTGAAATATGCACAAGGGTCTGAATTAAGTCTGTTGTATCCAAGGCTCATGATGAATGAATCAAATCTCTTGTACCAACACCTCGGCGTCTTCTTTAGACCGTACAGAGATTTGTTCAATCTGCAAACACTGTTTTAAATATCGGCCGATAACCGATATTATCGGCCGAGTTATCGGATTTGGGAGCTCTCCGATAGGATAACTTGGATTTTTAATCGGTTATCGTTTTTGGCAAGTTATCGGGGAGTTATCGGCGTTATCGGTACTTATCGGCCGATAAGTAAGGTTTTTTTATCGGGATTATCGGCCGATAAGTAAGGCTATGCAATCGAATGGTTTCATCGTGCGGTCAAGATGCAAGTTTTGCTTTCTACAATTGGTTAGTGATTCTAAACATGATGATTTACATTTTGGTATGTTTATATTTCATTAAGCATGGTTAGATTATATTTTTTAGTTATTATATTATATATATACACCATCTAGTATATCACTCCGATAAATACTACTTATCCCCGATATATCCCCGATTTCCGCTATCCGATAAGAATTTTGGTCGTCCGATAAATTCCCGATAACCGATATTTAAAACCTTGTCTGCAAACCAAGTTGTCTCTTTCTTATTCTTCAAAACCTTTTGGTTGGAGCATGTAAATTTATTCTTCAAGATCTCTATAAAAAAATACTGTTTCACATCTAGCTGTTCTAGATGTAAGTCAAATATAACGCTCATAGCCATGACTATTCAGATTGTTGTAAGTCAAACTACAAGAGAATATTTTATTAAAATCAATACATTCTTTCTGAGCATATCCTTTTACCACCAATCTAGCACGATATCGCTCTATTTGATCATCGTCATTTTGCTTGATCTTGTAGACCCATTTGTTTGCAATGATCTTTTTTCCTTATGATAGCGACACAAGTTCCCAAGTCTTGTTCTTATGGAGAGCTTCAATTTCTTCCTGCATTGCTGCCATCCACAAAGATGCATCTGTGCCATTTATAGCTTCATGACTCTATAAAAAAATACTGTTTCACATCTAGCTGTTCTAGATGTAAGTCAAATATAACGCTCATAGCCATGACTATTCAGATTGTTGTAAGTCACTACAGGAGAAAATATTTTATTAAAATCAATACATTCTTTCTGAGCATATCCTTTTACCACCAATCTAGCACGATATCGCTCTATTTGATCATCGTCATTTTGCTTGATCTTGTAGACCCATTTGTTTGCAATGATCTTTTTTCCTTATGATAGCGACACAAGTTCCCAAGTCTTGTTCTTATGGAGAGCTTCAATTTCTTCCTGTATTGCTGCCATTCACAAAGATGCAGCTGTGATATTTATAGCTTCATGAAAAATTGATGGCTCTCTATCTTCTGTTAGAAGACAGTATGTAACATTACTCTCCGTAATATACTCCGAACGTCAAGTCGGTGGCCTTCTCTCACGAGTTGACCTTCGAGCTTCTGAAGCCTCGGACTCGACTGGTTCTTGTACATCATGCTCCAGTATTGCTTCAGAAAAATTCGGATTATCTTCTACCCGAACAGCTACAGTCTCTGAGTCCTTCCTCGAACTGTTTTTTTCTTCACTTTGTAGTTAATTCTCTACAAAGATAACATCTCTGGTGATGATCACCTTGCGGGCAGTGGGATCCCACAGGCGATACCCTTTACTCCATCAGCATACCCCAAGAATATGCATTTTTTAAATTTTGAATCCAACTTTGTAATTTCTTGGGCATTGTACGTTGTGTACACTGGACTTTCAAATATATGGAGGTTAGAATAATCAGCTGGCTTGCCAGTCCACATCTCCATCGGTGTTTTCAATTGTATTGCAGTTGATGGAGATCAATTTACCACATAACAGGCGATTTTTACTGCTTCCATCCAAAAAATTTTATCTAGATTTACAGTTGCCAACGTAGCTCTTGTTCTTTCCAACATAGTTCTGTTCATCCGCTCCGTCACTCCATTTTGTTGAGGAGTACAAGCAGTGCTGAATTATCTTTTAATGCCTTCTTGCTTACAAATGCTATGAATTCACCGTCTGTGTATTCTACTCCATTATCTGACCTCAAACACTTGATCTTCTTCGCAGATTCAAGCTCGACCCACTTTTTGTAGGTTTGAAAGACTAAGAACACATCCGCCTTCTTCTTGATAGGATACACCCAACATCTCCTGGAGTAGTTATCAATAAAAAACACAAAATACTTTGCTCCTCCCAATGATGTAACCGGTGCTTGTCATACATCAGAATGAACCAGTTCCAGAATAGTCTTGTTTCTAGAACTCGATGTGTTGAACTTTAGCCGATGCTACTTGTAACATAATGCTCGCAGAATGGAAGAATTATCGAATTAAGTCTAGAAAGCAGCTTTTGATCGGAGAGAATCTTCAAGCCTCGTTCTGATATGTGGCCTAGTTTGCGATGCCACATCATGGTTTGTTCTTCTCCACGGCTGGTTGATGCCACATATGAATCAGCTTCCTGCAGAGTTTCTTCCTTGAGCATGTATAAATTTACAGCTATCTTTTGGAACTCGGCTATGAACAAAAAAAGATATCTTTATTTTGTGACAGTCAGAGTGCTTTGTATTTGGCAAGAAATCCAGTCTTTCATTTAAAGACTAAACACATTTGAGTTCAGTACCACTTCGTTCGTGAGAAAGTGGAAGAAGGAACAATGAATATGCAGAAAATTCACACCGAAGATAACCTAGCAGATTTTTTAACAAAAACAGTCAGTACTGATAAATTTATTTGGTATCGATCTTCTTGTGGTCTGACGGAGACTTAAGTAATATGAAGATGGCAACATAGAAAAAATGGTGTGAAAATATGATTGATACTCAATCAAATCTTCAAATGTGAGATTGTCAGCAGCAGGTGCCTAACAAGCCAAGCACCTCAAAACCCATTCAGCTAAAATTGTTGACAAAATGGCGCGTGGGTTCCACCATTATTATTATTTACATAGTAAAATATTATTATTTTATTATGCATAGTATTTTTTTTAAAAACTATAAATAGGCTCTAAATCCTTAAAGAAAAACTCATCCCAGAAACAACTCCTCATATAGAAGAGTGAGAGAGAAAGAATAGAGAGAGTATCTCCTTGTAAAGAGAGATTGTAACTCCACAACAGCGGCTGCAACGTCGTCAAAAACTAGATAGTTCGTAAGGACGTTTGTCAGGTTGATGATAAGTTGATCATACGAGTCAGGTAGACTCTGAAGTAGAAGTTCTGCACGTTCATTCGCATCAACTGTATACCCCGACATTGTGAGTTCGGAGAACAGTGTGTTTAGGGTGTTGATGTGGTCGGTCATCGATGTAGATTCCGCAATCCTAAGAGTGTAAAGTCTCCTTTTTAAGAAGATTTTATTGTGCATGGATTTCGCCTCATATAGCTTTGTTAGAGTATCCCAGATCTCCTTTGATGTCTTCTTCTCCTCAATGCTTGACAGCACTCCCTCTGCTAATGCTAGATGGAGATTTATAATAGCATTTTCATCATCTCATTCTATTTTTTATCATCTTTGATGTCGTCCGACTTTGCACCGATGGCCGCTAGGCAATTATCTTTTCTCAAGATAGCATTTATCTTTAACTTCCACAAAGAGAAATTACTCCCGTCGAATTTCTCGATCTTGAACTTTGTTGCCGTTGATTCTACCACGAACAGTAACGTCTTACTATCTCACGTAAATAGTAACTGTATTTATAAATAGTAACCGTATCCGTAAATAGTATCATATATGTGAATAGTATCGTATTTATGAACAGTACCGTACTCGTGAACAGTACCCATCACCTTCAAAGGGTAAATGATAACCTAACTTATTTTCTATTGTGAAGGATCCACCTTTGGTGACAGCCACAGAGCATACGATAAGTAGATATATACAAGCACCCTAAGTTGGTTCTGATACCACTTGTTGGGACAAATCCGGGGCTAAATAGAGCAGGATCGCAGCAATAGTAGAGCAAAAGTAGAGATAACAAATTGGACACACAGCTTTACGTGGTTCGGCACTTGATTGCCTACGTGCACGGGTAAGGATAGAAGAATTTACTATAAGGAGAAAACTCTGGAGTTACAATATCTCTTTACAAGGAGATACTCTCTCTATTCTTTCTCTCTCACTCTCCTATATGAGGAGTTGTTTCTAGGATGAGTTTTTCCTTAAGGATTTGGAGCCTATTTATAGTTTTTGGAAAAACACTATGCATAATAAAATAATAATATTTTACTATACAAATAATAATGATGGTGGGACCCACACGTCATTTTGTCAACAATTTCAGCTGAGTGGGTTTTGAGGTGCTTGGCTTGTTAGGTACCTGACATATTCATACTTTGGCTCTTGATCAATGTTGAAAAAACAATTTTTACAAGACTGCCTATGGGATGATGTAAAATATGTGGTTGCTATACAAACAAGACATAAAATCATGTGCGTGCAGGTTAAACACACACACGTGCCCCTGCACGGAAAGTAAGCTATCACTTGCTTTTGATGCAGGTGTTATGATGACAAGAACATTTAACACTTCATGGGACATGATGTCTGGGAAAGATCTGATGTATCAATCAATAATTTTCCTGTCTATTGCAACTCTGGGAGACAACTATTTTGTCTGGTTGAGGGGAATGAGATGTTCGTATTTATTGACCTGTCATCTAAGATGGTTAAATCCCTCAGTCATTAAGTTAGTTGCTTATAAACGTTGTTTTACGTGCATGACTGTATTGGGCTTTTAAATCTAAGGGGGTGAATTATTGGGAAATATTGTTGTAGAAAAAAAACTCACAAATAAATCCTCACCAAAGAATTTGGTTACATTTCGGAACTCTAAACATGTCATCCATCTTATTGTGATGGTTAATTTTGATAGAGCGAATGATGTAAGCATTGGGAGGAGTAGGGCTTTGGTTAGTTGTTGTAGCCGTGGAGGTTACATCCATAAAGCATGTTACTATAACTGTGTAAAAACTCACTGCTACAAGGTTGGGAAATCAGGGTTGTGGTGTGACTCCGGCATATGTATTCCATCCATTTAAACGCCCATTGCTACATAATGGGGAGGACTCTTGCTCATGTCTTCCGAAGACGGACCTATACAGGTGTCCATGGCACAAATGGTTGGATAATAGTCATATGGTTGGCCACCTCAATTGTTGATCCATTATTTGCTTGTAATATCAGAAAAAGTGCCTCAAATCTCCTCCAATTCCCTCTTATCCAGTTTTGAACTCCGCTTTGTTTTTCCTTTGTTCTGGACATATTACATCAGTATAGTTCATTCCATCAGAAACAAATATGCATCAGTTTCCTGGTATAGAACATATTCTTCTTCATTTTTTAATTCATGCAAAGTGGATACTTTAAATTATAATCAAAAGCTTTTTCCATCTCCAAGTTTTTATTGATAGTGGATTAATTTGGTATATATTTGTGCCTGCTATTTACAATACTGTTCTCCCTTATCTCTAGCTTGCACTGCACCCCTTGGCATAACTTAGTCATTTGTATATCTTTTTGGACATGCATTTTCTGAGTTGTGCATCCAGTTCTTAACATATATCAGGCAAAATGAACAGTCAGTATTAATTTTAATACTTTATTCCTATCTATGTAATAAACATACACTTGTACTCTACTGGATTAGGTGAGTGGTCCTGTGGGAATTGTTCGGAAGCAAATCACACAATATGGAAACTTCAAGAATTCTTGCAGATTGCAGCTTGAGCAGGATGTAAGTTGATCTGTTTGTTTAAGGGTCACCAAATGTCTTACTACAGAACGGGATAACTTTTTCTCATGCCACTATATTAAATTGAAGCAGTAGAAGTTTTGTATTGAAGTAACTAATATCATCTTTATTAAAATCTCTGCTGTTTACTGTCACATATCTATAGTCGTATTGAGATGGCAGATAACAAAAGTTGGCTTCTTTGTCGCTGGTATTTCTTATTATTGTCTTTTGTGATTTAAATCTTCTTCCTGACAAGTGGCATGGAGTGTCATACTTCGTGTAACACATGTTTCACTTTGCACAACAGATTCTGTTTGGAATGTGGGATCATTATTGTGATTGTGGATTTTGATGCATATAATTTTTGGGTAAATTACGATTAAAGTCAAAGTTAATGCATGTTTCAGAGTAGAATTTGCCTTTCATAGTGCTGCATTTTAGATGTGTTAATTCTTTTATGTCTTTCTCAAACATTCACGCAAGGGCATTTTTTTGAATGTGGAATTCATATGATGTTATATTTTATCACAACTTAGCTGTTTACAGCAAGATAACCATTGAGAAGTAGCTTGATATAGAGGCTGTTTGTTCCGGAAATTTGCAATTACAAATGAAATTACAATTTGCAAGAGAACAGGTACAATCATTTACTTTGCTGTGCAGTTTTTGCGACTGCAGTAGTGAGTCACTTTGGACAATATGATTTGTATTTAAT